AAGACATCATGCAAGTGGATTACTTGAAAGCATATGATGTAAAGCTATACAAGACCACTTAAGGGAACTCCTGATGGCTTCCTAGACATGACAAGACCTCACTTCATTCAAGCCCAACAAACTGTGGTGTTTTTTTCTATGTTATTGAGAGACCTATAAAAGCTATACATCAATCCCAGAGGCCACTGGGATTTTCTCTCCTGTTGTTAGTATCTGTGATTTAATTATGCATCCTTGCTTATAGAAACCTTAACATCAGAAAGCCAAAAAATAAAACACTATGTCTACCTCATTATTAGTTGTTTGCATTTTGTCTTGTGATATATGAAAAGACTGAGAGACATAATTTCTGAGTAATTAATCATTTTATTAATTATGGCTAGAGATTAATTAATAAAAGCATGGTCATCTGGCTTTCTCTCACAAACCAATAATGAATCATGGAGACCTCTCAATGGTTGTATGTCCTTGGAAGAGTGGGTGCTCCTAAACAGATGGCAATCAACTCTGATTGGTTAACAACGAACTAGAGAATGAATATTATAATAAGAAGTGGACCTATTTAAATGAGAAACTGGGAAACAAGACTTTGATTATGTCACTCTTACTTATCTCTATCCAGATCACCCTCAACCTTCTGCAATCCAGACAAAAGGATCTAATCTCTCCCAAGCCTATCTGAATAGAATACAATGGGCCAGAATTCACCTAGATTAGATTCTCTTTGTAAGGTTTCCTTACTGCTGGGTGCAGTCCTACCTGGAGATTGAAAAGCCCTCGCCCTGAGGATCTGAGCAACCTCAGCTACCAGCAATGTCCTTCAGATGTTGGCTAAATAACCTACAAGGAGCTGATTTCTCAATAAGGAAATAGAAAAGGGAAAATCTTAATTTCAATTAGTAATTGGTTATTAATATAAGAGGGAAATAATTTCTCTTAGTCTCCCCCTTTAGACTGTAGACTTCTTAAGAGGAGGGGCTGTCATTTGCCTTCTTTTGTATTCCCACTGCTTAGCACAGTGCCAGGCATGTAGCAGGCACCTTAAAAAATGCTAGTCAACTGACTGACATTGGATAATCCTTTGCTTCATGATGGCATGCTCCAAGGTTAGTATTTGTGAAATTACTTCCATTGAAATTTCTCTAGAAACATGTATTGCATTAAAATAAAACTCATTGAAGTTTATTCATTTAACAAAAGCATGTTAAATGACTAGATCACAGTTATTAAGTATCAGAGGATTAGAAACAATATTCCTTACTCCAAAACCAGTGCTTGATTCACTCCCTCAGGCTGCTTGCATTACCATTTTTTAATCTTCCCCTATCCTTACCTTGGGCAGCTAGGTTGAGAGTGGATAGAGGGCTTTAGAAAGGAGGACTCATCTTCCTGGGTTCAAATCTGGCCTCAAACACTTACTGGCTGTGTGATCCTCAGTAAGTCACTTAGCGTTGTTTTATCTCAGTTTCCTCATCTGTAAAATGAGCTGGAGAAGGAAACAGCAAACCATTACAGTACCTTTACTAAAAAAAAAAACACCAAATGGAGTCACAAGTAGTTGGACATGACTGAGAAACAATAACAAAACCACCCTTATCTCCCACCATCCAGTCAACAAATTTTGTGAATTCCACTCCATACTAGCTACCTCTTGGATTTATTCCTTTCTTTCTCTTCACATTGTCTCCCCAGGTCAGGCTCTAATCACCATCTATCTCATCATCATCTCTAGTCCATCTATCACATAGTAGAAAATATGTAATAACTAATGAATGATAAATCAATTCTCTGCTTAAAAATCATCAATGGATCCCTATTGCCTGTAAGATAAAATAACCACTCAATCAACACGTACTTATTAGGTGCCCAATATGTGCAAGACATTGTGCTAAAAGACTGGGGCCAAAAGACAAAAATACAAATTCTTCACCCTAACTTTTAAGGCCTTCAACAATTTTGTTCCAACCTAATTTTGCTCAACTCCCTTTCATGTATTAGATATGAAGCCATTCAACAGATTTTTCTTTCCCAGAGCACAAGCTAAGAACATTTCTACCTATTGTTTAAATCTTAATATCTTTCTTCAGCAACCCCTTGCAGGCCAATTAGGAGTGTGTAAGACTCTTGATACAAATTCCATCACAGCATTCTAGACTTTACCTGAACAGTTACGAATGTTTTTATGTTACTTGGTTTACTAATTAATTACATGGCCATTGATAGTGATTTTCTCTAAGCCTGTAAATTCATAGTTCAATACTGAGAAAAGAGAAATTATCCCATGGGAGAAGAGATGGAGGCCAAGCTTATTAGAAAGGAAATTTTGGTAATTTACTGAGAATATTTTGGAACAAACCCTCTAGATTGCTTTTGAGCCAAGGGAGTTGTTGTTTAGTCATTTTTATTTGGGGTTTTCTTGGCAAAGATACTGGAGTGGTTTGCCATTTCCTTTTCCAACTCTTTTTACAGATGAGGAAACTGAGGCAAACAGGGTTAAGTGACCTGCCCAGGATCACACAGCTAGTAAGTGTCTGAGGCCATATTCGAACTAAGGTTTTCCTGACTTCAGGCCCAGCATTCTATGCACCGCACCATCTAGCTTCCTTAAACCGAAAGAGAGACTATATAAGAAGGCAAGTCAGTAGAAGAGAGGATTGGAGGTTGGTGTGATTGTTCCTGAATGTTCCTGAAAAACACTGTATCGTGCACCTATACCCCATAGGAGATATACAGGATATCCAAAAGACTTAATGCAGTTTTAAGCTATTAAAGATTAAACAACCTGGATTTGTATTGTCACTGTCTGTATCACATTCTACCTTCTATCATACTTATTTGTCTGCCTGCCCTCTCTCCTCATAAATTGTAATCTCCTTGACAGAACTATAAGATTTATCATCTTAAAAGTTTGCTGGATTCAATTGTGTTGATTTAAAGCAAAAAGATGAATCGTATTTAGGTTAAGCAATACAGAACACCTCCATTTATCATGTGTTGTTGTGCAGTTGTTTCAGACTTATCCAACTCTTTGTGACCCCATCTGGGGGGTTCTTGGAAAAGATACAAGAGTGATTTGCCATTTCCTTCTCCAGCTCATCTTACAGATGAGGAAATGGAGCCAAATAGGGTTAAGTGACTTGCCCAGTTTCACACAGCTAGTAAGTATCTGAGGCCAGATTTGAACTCCGGGAGATGAGTGTTTTTCTGACTCCAAGTCTATTCACGCTATTCACTGTGCCACCCAGCTGTCCTCATTTATCATGTATCTGTTACCCAAATTGCAGACACATTGCACATAGAAGGAAATAATAATACCAATAATAACAGTAGTAATAATAATAGCATCTATGTAGTGCCTTAAGGTTTGCTTTACAAGTTATCCTCACAAAAACCCTGGGAGGTAGGTGCTATTATCATCCCCCACTTTACAAAGGAAGAAACTACCAGACTGAACTTGCTTGCCTTCCAAATTTTCAAATTCAGGCCTACAAGGTGATGTCTGATTTCATAATAACATTCAGTATGAAAGAAGAAGGTTGGTAGCTATTTCTCCCTACTTTATAGCAGCATTCTTTGGGATGACAGTCCATATGTTCACTGAGTCTTAATGGCAGAGGACCTTGGTTCAGGTGCTAACTCTGCTACTAATTAGCTGTGTGACCTTAGATGAATCACTTAATTTCTCTGAACCTTAGTTTCTTCAACTATAAAATGTGGATAATGATGCTTTTACTTAGCAACTCACACTGCCATAATTAAAAAGGTGCTTTGTAAACCCTGCAGTTTACAACCTTACAACCTACACAGTTGTAGGCTGTTCTAACTGGTCGAATTCTCCTGCTAGTATAGTGACTTTGAAGTCACCTCTGAGTCCTGATACTAGCATAACTTCTGTAGATCAGTTTCCTCAACTGTAAAATGAGGGTGTTGGATTAAATGGCCTCTGAGGTCCCTCCTGATTCTCTATCAAAGATCCTGTGTATGAGTTTGGTCAAAGGTGGGGTAAAAATGAAGCTGGATATTAAGGGAACTCTTATTCTTCTCTGCTGCTGCCAGGTGGAGAGAATTGACTGGAACATGTCTTAAATCTAAAGAGGGAAAAGACAAAATCTGTCTGCAGTGGTAGGGGGAGTAAGTGTTCTTCCGCTTAGTTGGGAAACATTAATATTATACTTTCTGTCTACCTTCCTCCACGAGGATGTTCAGAGAATTAATGAGATGCTTTTAAAGGGCTCCCAGTGTTATACCGAGAAATTAGCGAGTTGACCACTCAAGCTAATTTTAAATTGTGGACTTTATTAGCTGCCAGGGATATTCACATCCAAATCAAGCAGCCCCCATCAGGGGTTGAGCTAGGGTTTATATAGGGAGTATACAGGACAGGGAGGGGAATGGATCTTTGAAGTCTGGCAAGAGGAAGAGGTTTTTTGGGGGCTGGTCAAGGACACCCTTCTCCCTCTGTGTAGGTATGATAAGCTGTGCAAACTTTCTCACAATGGAGGCTTCCAGAGATATGATCTGAGGGCTGTGGCCTGAGCAGCCAGATAAGGGTCTTGCTAAGGAATTTGGAGTTTTCCATGGCCTAAAGGGTTCTACTACCTAAATGGTAAAATAATGTTCTGCATTACACCAGCTGCTCTTCAGAAAGGTGATCCAGGGGGAAAAAATGCAAGTAATGGTGCTAATAAATGTGGGTGTTAATAAAAGCTGCATCTGCTACAACAATCTACTGAGATTACTAAAAATTATGGGCGGGGCTGCATTCAAATATTATTTGGGCTTTCGTAGTGTTCCTCTAGTCTGTCATCTATGATATTGTTGGTTAAATTAATAATTTCCTGGTCTAGAATATAAGTAGCGTAATGAAGCAACATACTGAATTGAGAGAGTGAAAATAAGGAAAGGTAAAATTTAGGAAATATGGTCATTAGCGTGTCTGGAAGGAGTGTTAGTTTACCATAAGGTTGAGTCACTGAGCCTGGCTGTTCCTTTTTTTCCAGGGTAAATATACATGCATCCCAGGACATGAAATGAACAGCTAAATTCTGTAGCCTGAGGATGAAAGCTCACCTGAACCAGGTCCCTTTAGCAAGAAGAATGACAACAAATTTCTTCAACTTAGAAGCGATACAGGCATGATTCATTCAGCAGTTTGAAATGAACACACCCACCTCATCGACTCTAAACTTTGTAATTAAGGCATAAGTTAATTAAGTTTCATGAAAAAGAGTAAAGGAAATACTGCTGTGATATAAGAAATGATGAGTTTGATGATCTTAGAAAAACACTGATAGACTTGCACAAAGTAATGAAAAACAAAATGAGAGGAACCAAGAAAACATTGTATACAATAACAGCAATATTGTTTTAAGAACAACTTTGAATGACTAAGTCATTTTGACTATTATAGAAACCCAAATTAACTACAAAGGATATATAAAGGAAGATGCTATCTGCATCCAGAAAAAGAACTGATAAATAGAAGTATATATAAAATGATTTTATATACATATATATGTACACACACATACATACACGTACATATCTGTGTCTAACAGTAGCCATTGGGGTGGGGAGGGAAGAAATAAAAGGAAAAAGAAAGAAATTGACATAATAGCTTTATTACATATTCAAAAGGAATAGCAAGTTGTTCAAAATAGATTTGCAGTTTCATGTGCAATCATCTATTTTGTTATACTATGTTATAGAAATGCTTGTTTTATTCCATAAATTAAAAATAAAATAAATTACATTTTTAAAAAAGAGCGAAGGGAGAGAAAAACGGGTTTAGATAAAAATGGCATAGACCAAATCAGACAGTCAACAAACTTACTACGTTTACACATGCTTACTATGTGCCAGGCACTGTGTTGTGTCCTAGGGATACAAGAGAAGGCAGAAATATAGTCCCTGAACTCAAGAAGCTCACAGTCTAATTGGGAGGAGACAACAAGGATTTAAATAGGTACATCTACCTAGTAGGGATGGAAGTAATTTCAAAGAGAAGGCACTAACATGAAAGGGAACTGAAAAAGGTCTTCTGCAGAAGGTTAGATTTGAGCTCAGTCTTGAAGGAAGCCAATATGAAGACAGAAAGTGATCTAGGAATGGGATTAGAGATAGAGATGGTTTGGATGTGAGTCAATTAATGAAAAGATAAAGAGGTAGGAGATAAACGTGTTTGAGGAACAGCAAGGATGCCAGTGTTGTAGTATCCTCAAATATATGGAGGGAAGTATAATGTAAAAAGCCTAAAAAAGTACAAAGGTACTGGGTTGTGAAAGGCTTTAGAAGCCAAACAGATAATGTAATATTTTGATCCTGGAGATAATAGGGAGCCATTGCAGTTTGCTGAGCAGGGTAATGATGTGGCCAGATGTGCACTTTGGGAATATCATTTTGGCAACTGAGAAGAAAATGGGCTGGATTGGGGAGAGACTTAAGGTAGGGAGACCAACCAGAAAGCTGTTTTTCCATAGTAAAGTGTATGAGGGTCTGGCTAGGGTGGTGGCAGTGTCACAGGAGAGAAGGGGACTCATCTGAGCAATGTTGTGAAGGTGGAAACTACAGAAGCCTTGGCAAGAAGGGGAGTCTGTGCAACATAGATCGACAGCTGCCAAGAACCTCAAAGGCCACCTATCCCAGGTGAGGAAAACTATGGCCAGGGGAAGGTTTAGAAATCCCCCAAGTCCACATAAGTAGTAACTGTCAGAAGTGGGATTACAACCAACCAATGTCTCATCTCCAGTGTTTGTTCCACTTTATCACTAAGCTGTTCAACTAGATTCCTAGAGGTCAGTTTAGTTTGTCTATTCCTTAAAGACCCATTTCCCTAAGGCTCTATTTCCTGGTTTAAAGGCCCAAAGCATCCTCTTATCACTTCTCTTAAGAATAGAATGAGAGAAGGGGCAGCTAGGTGGCGTGGATAGAGCACTGGCCCTGGAGTCAGGAGGACCCGAGTTCAAATCCAGCCTCAGACCAAACACTTGACACTTACTAGCTGTGTGACCCTGGGCAAGTCACTTAACCCCAATTGCCTTAAAAAAAAAAGAATAGAATAAGAGAAAGGAGGGGCAGGGAGAGGGGGAGGGAACAAACATTTATGAAGTGTCTACTGTGTGCTAGGCACTGTGCCAAGCAGTTTACAAATATCCCATTTGATCCTAACAACCTTATGAGGTAGATGCTATTATTATCTCCATTTCACAGATAAGGAAACTGAGGCAAATGGTGGAGAATGGAAGAAATTTGTCTAAGAATTGGTTTCATAGCAGAAAGCAGCATATGTCTTAGTACTGGGACTGCTGAGGGTGTGCTGGGAAGTGCTTTCTGTAAGCAGTCTTTGGAGACTCTTGCTCCACCTAGGACCCAGGGTTTGTTTTCATTTTTCTTGGCCCCAGTACAGTGCCTGGCATGTAGTAAGAATTTAAGAAATGATTAATTGAATTTAATCAAATTGAATTCAATTTTGATTCAGAATGGCCATGTTGGCCTGTCTTTGTCCTGCATCCCATGGTGAGGAGTCCTCTTTTGAGCTGAACCAACCCCTTGCCCCAGCTGACTACTATCTATTACTTTTATGGCTCTAGGACCCTCTCTAGTTTCTGAACTGCTTCATGGGGCTCAAATGGCCAGAAGCTTGTAGGCTTCTTGGGAGCAGAGACTGTTTCATTTTTGACTTTGTTTACCAAGTAACAAGACTCACACATTCATTTATCCAAAATGATGATGATGAGGATGATGAGGATATTTATATAACATATTAAGGCCTGCAAAGCATTTTGCATATATTATCTCATTAAATCCTCAAAACAACCCTATGAGGTAGGTACTATTATGATCCCCATTTTACAGATGAAGAAACTAATGCTGAGAGTGGTTGTGAGTTGCCCAGGGTCACATGGCTAATAAATGACTAAGGCAGGATTCAAACATGTCTTTCTGCCTTCGCATCCTGAAAAATAAATCCCTTTAGTATTATTTCATATGCTCAGAGCATCTGGAGCCTTAAAGTAGAAAAAAATTATCGAATGGACAGTCTGGCTGGATATAATTTTAATAATGGGTAGTGATGTCAACGGAGCATGTGGTAAAGAGGAAAGGGTGATAGATTAAAGTAAAAATCAGGGTGCCTGTGTTCAAATGTTATTTCGGCAACATACCACAGCTGTCTGTGGGATTTCACTGGTTTAGGGAGTTCTAGGTAAGGAGACTCTTTCTACCAACATGGATCTGCAGTTTTTTTATTTGTTTTGTTAATGTTTTTGTTTTTACAGCTTATAGTCTCAAAGAGTTTCCTGAAGAACTTAGAGGTTATTGACTTGGCCAGAGTTAGCATTAGAATCAAGGCCTGAGCTCAGAATTTCCTTATCCCAAGGTCAGCTTTCTAGTCACTTTGCCACGTTTTCTTTGCCTTGTATGTGGTAGACTGAATTTTATTTGCATTGAATCAATTTTATTGTCATACAAGTTTAAGTAACATTTCCCTCCTCCTAAGTCACCTAAGTGAACTTAAAACCATTCTTCTCCCTCTTTACCTTACCCCACTTCCTGTAATACACTGGCCTAAATCCTCATCAAATCAAAACATGTCTACCTCACTATTTGCTTCTCACCTCACTAACCTTCCCTATACCTCTCGTCCTGTCCAACAAATCCGTGTTTTTCCCAAGTTACCTGAATTTCCCTGCAATGGGGCTGGGGCATCCAAAGGACACTTCTGGATTTATGAGATAGTATTACTGCTTTCACCACTATAGTCATTCAGTGAACAGTTCCATAGAGTTTTTCCCATTAAAAAGGCAATCTAGTTAGAAAAGAATTGTTCTACATTACACTAAAAATGGTAAGTTTAGATCATTCTCCTGAATCATTGGCATGGATTCATTTGGAGGCAATGACAAATGGTGCCCAGCACCTTTTTAAAAGTTCAGGGTTTATATTTACATACAAATGTTCAGTTTTTGAATCGGTCCTCAATCTTTCAATTTAATTTTAGAGTAGTGCCAAATTAGCTGCTCAAACATGCAGTATATTTGCATATTTTCCCAACTTAATTGTGAATTTGCAGTCAGCTCTGAACAGAACCATTTGTCTTCCTATCTACACATGGTATGCAAAGACTTAAACAATTTCAGTTTGTACTCTTAGTCAATTGAATTGAGATCTTTCGGCAGAGAAAATTCAATTTGTATTTTCAGGTTCCACTAAAATGAGTTTGTGTACTTTCTGGGTAGTTTATACTGGGAATTATAGTTACGTGATATTTTGATAAAAATCTTCCAAAGCCCCTCCATTAATTCACTTCGTCATCAGTCCAAAGGAGCTAACATCTCTTGCCATAGAGGAATCATAAAGAGAAATTTCCCATCAGCTTTGAATTTTTTGCTATTTTTAAGCCTAAGCATATATCACACCAGAGGAAAAAGAGAAAAACAACTAGGCTAATATCAATTCAATTCAATTTATCAAACATCAATCTGTTCCTTAAGGACAACCAATATCAAAATACATTTCTATCTTTGAAATTGTTATGGCACATGGACAAAGCCTTCTAATTCCATTCAACCTGCAAAATAAATCCCTTTGGTATTTCATACACTCAGAACATCTGGAGCCTTAAAATAGAACAAAATTATCAAATGAACAGTCTGGCTGGATATAATTTTAATAATGAGCAGTGATGCCAATGGAGCATGTGCTAAAGAGGAAAGTGTGATGGATTAAAGTAAAAATCAGGGTACCTGTGTTCAAATGGATAATGTAAATGGCAGCATATCACCTGTGCACCTCTGCCCAAGTCACTTAACTTCTCTTGGCCTCCATACCTCATCTGTAAAATAAAGAGAATAGATTAGAATGGCACTAAGGCCCCTTTCAAACCTAAATTAATGACCTTATTGCAACCAGCAGCTGACAAGAATATTTCACTGAGCTTTGCTATGTGATTCCAGCTGACTGCCTATTAGTGCATGGGCCTTCTGGGGATGACAAAGCAGTGCCTAATCAGTCATTGAGAAGGAAGAGCCTGAGCCCTCAGTTATGGGTTTTCCTGGCTGCAGAATGTGTGAATACCCCTCTAGCGTCTTGCTAGACAGGTAGGAGCAGGGACTCCTGGCTCAAATGTAGCACCAGGTTAAGTAAGCTAGGCAAGCTTGAAGCTGGGCAATCCTGATTTGCAGTATTTTTGCTGTTGTTGTTTTTGTTTTACCTGATTG